GGTGCTGGCGGTGACAAATTGCCTTCTAAGGTTTCTACAGTTATAAGCCACTTAACCAGACATGTCATTCAGGTGACGGTGTCTTAACGTCTGCAGATGACACAGCGGCTGTACGTACACAACCTTTGTGTACTTCCTGGCTGTGCTCTGGATTCCTGCAGCGTCACCTCCTCCATGTAAAGTGTCTTGTTGGCTGAGCCTTTCACACTGGGGCCTAATACTGTCCTCAGAAAATACTGTGCATGCTAAATACAGACGCTTATACAGCTGCTGTACACCAGTCGGCTCCTCCACCTCGACTGTTCGCTTTATTGGCAGTGCAGGCGCAAAAAAGAAAGCTGTACGTTTTGGAGCGACGGATGAATGGCTGCTCGCTGTCATGCTTTTTCAATCCCATTCACTGTACCCCCCACCATCCCTGTCGTCGTCTTCTTCTTTTTTGGGATTGCTGGACCTGACAGCGAAAGAGAACTGGAGAAGAGATGCTCTGCTTTTTTGAGGTTTCTCTTATTCCACTTTCCCCCGGTGGAGGTTTGGATTCCCCTGGGCTGCTGCTGATATGATCAGCTGTCTCCACGGTGACAGACGCTGGAGATAAAGCTTGGGCTGTCAAAGGATGGTAGACTCCTCTGCCCTTTTCAGTCAATATCTCTCTCTCTCTCCCTCCTTTCTTTCCCCCATCCTATTCAGCCTCCTTCGGTCTTCTACTTTCTACTTCTTCACACTCCAGCTGTGATTTTCTTTTTCGTCCCCCCCCCCCCCCGCATGGTGTTTTTTTTCTCGCAAGCATGTCTTCTTTCTTCATTTTTAAAAAAGCACAGATGCAGTCCATTCAGCTGTAGCCTTTTCATGCAGACTCAATATTCTCATTGTCCAGTTTTGAAGCAGTGAAGAGTGTACGTCTGGATATGCCGAAAGTGAACCTGAGGTGTTCTACACAACAGCATGGGAGGTGATTACTAATAGCCACAATCTGCAGGACGGGAGGACAGATAAGCTGCCATGCATTTTAACTATATGACCTTCTAAAACGTGGCTGGATGCCATGTTTTCACCCCACAATAAGTGCCGTAAAGTTTCCTGTTTTTATGGGTATTTCGAGTTATTTCAGGCACCCAGGGTTCCAAAACTATCATCTTAATTTTCTGCATAGACGTTGGTATGTGAGTGGCGGTTCCAAGGCTGTGGGCTTGAAACTCTGCTGGTTGAATCATCAGTATGAAAGATGAGCAACCCCGAGTTATAAAATATCTAGTTTTTTGATTAAAAAGTAAGGATGAGTGTTTCAGTAACAAACATCCAATTACTGAGGATAAAATTCTGTCACGATCTCCCCTAAGCTGATAAAATATTTAGCAGTTTAAATCCATTCACGTTCGTATTCTGGGTCAATTTGGGATTAATTCAGCAATTGTTGCTATATATTTTGCCCAATTTTAACGACAAAGCTGAATTTGTGTTCGACTTTGGATCTCATCTCCTTCCAGCAATCAACGTTGGCTTCTTTTGACGCCGAACACTTAACAATGTCATTTTAGTGTCGTAAATTTAAACATAAAAGTGGCAGATCAGAAAAACAGTCTTTCTGTGGTTTAGATAAAAGGACTTGATGTCGTGGAAGCGTGACTAGTTAGTGACATTTACCTTTTTATTTAAAAACTTCATCTTGAAATAAACACAATCCTGGTGAACAAAGACCCCTCAGAGAGGTGGATCCGGTTGTGCTCGGGTACAGTGAGACTGTACGGCAACACGTTTTTAAAAGAATATTTTTTTTCTGTCAGGTACACGAAGAAATTGTGATTGGCGGTAAGCGAGGCATATCGTAACACCTTACACAGCACCGCTCTGGCACAAATTACAGTAAATAATGATAAAACTGAAAGTTTGACAAACACAAATTAATGTTTGCTGTGATGAATTATCTCACGCTGTGGACGTTGTTTCTCGTGCTGTTCGACAAGAAAAAAGCAGCAAATGTTTTTTTTCTGAAGGGAGGGAAACGAGTCCTGATATCTTCCAACAAACACCAGCAGGATGAAGGAAAGCAGCATGTTAGACAGTTGGGAATAACTCTGAAACATTTTAGGATAATTTAAATTATCATCAACTTTTACACAAAGCAATTAACTGTTTCATTTTTAATTTATTGTTTTTTTTTATAGTATTATTTTTTCTGCCCTTATCTTTTACGTTTTTGAATATTGCCTTTTATTATAGTTTTCTTCTTCTTCATTGACTGCTTACAGTTTATGTTGCAACTTAGCTCTCCCATGAGGATTACAGAAGTTTCATCTATAAATTCATCCTTTTCACCAAACCCCCCGGTCATCGTCCTCCTCCCTTCTGAATCGCTTCCATGATCCTCTATTCATTAATTTTTCAAAAAACAACAACAAAAGCCGTGCACAGTAAGACTTTTTATTTTTTATTTCATGTTGTTTTCTTCCTACATGATCAGTCTGTGGTTGCAGCAGAACTGTCGGGGCACAGCGGCTCTGATTATTACACTCCTTACTCTTGGTTGCTTGTAATATCGGGGTATTGGTTTTCTGCAGTTATTGTGCTGTCGCTGTGGGTGAGAGCGTTAGCTAAATGACTGAAATGTCAATGTAGATTAGTAGCAGAGGTGTTATGTTTATGCTCAGCAGTGAGGGAATTACAGAAATGGTTTGTCAGCGTTCAGGGACGCGTTTTGAGCCGTGAGGAATCTGCGGCGGATTCTGCTCGAGAGCAGCAGTGAGGAGAGTGAGGAGGATTATGCAGGAACAGTGTCATGCATTCACATAAAGCTACACACTATATGCAACAAGAGTTACTGTATGAAGCTCATATAATACTCCGAAGAAGAAGGTTCAAGTGCTGGGTCTCGAACCTCTTCAGAGACGGGCAAGAGACACACACACACACACACACACGCACGCACGCACGCACACACACACACACACACACACACACACACACACACACACATCCATGCCCTGCAGCCAGGGAAACAGTGTTTTGGTAAACAGGCCTGGATGTTTGCTGGACTTCAGAGCCAGACTAGAAGCCACTTGGGCTTCAACTGCCCGTCTGCATGTCACTGCTGCCAGGGAAGAAAAACAAAATACAAGAAAAAAAACCCTTCTCCTCGTGGCTTCAATCTTTTTGATTGTCATGATTGTTTTACTTGAACTGAACGTGGTCCTGAATAAGATGATCGGGTTTCGTGACCCATGGGGCTGTCGGACCCATTCAAAACCGAGGGTGGATCTTCACCAAAGCTTCAGCAGTTTTTCTGCTAATAATTAGTAATTTAAAACACATTTTTTTAGAAGGCTTCTGACCAGACAAAAAGCCGTCTCCGCCGTCCATCTCTCCCCCTACATGCCCTTCAGCCACCATTGGAGCCGCTCCCTTCGGGGCTCGGGGCTGGAGGGCATGTGTAGGGGGGCGGCGGTGACTTTGGGCCATGCAGCCGTTTTTTGCCGGAGCACTGAAAGGCCCGGAGGTAGAGGATTGAGATTATTGCTGACTCATGTCCAAATTCGGCTGCCCACAGGGCAGCTTGCTGAGCCACAAACAGATGTTGTGATGCTCTGGTGCCGATACTGAAGCAACACTGAAAGGTTGTACGTCTGATAAGAAATGCACCACCAACCTCCACTGTTTCTTTTGTGACAGCCATCATGGAAATCTCTGCGCTTGCATGTATCCCACATTACTAACAAAATAATACATTTCTGGAACATAAAAAAGTAGCTAGAAACATTATATAAACCCTAATGTTGCTTCCCAACTGGCCAGCATGCCATTTTTGCAACACATGCATGATAATAAAGCCAAATCTGATTTCCATCAAGTATTTTTCCGCATAATGACGCCAATTTAGGTGCATTAGCATTCTCAAGGTATTTTCTTAAGTGACCTGTAATGGCTGCATTTTTGTGTAATGAAAGAGGTTTTATTCTCAGGGGTGTACCTAAGAAGTCTGAGGCCCCTGAAAGATGATTTCCTTAGGGCCAGCCCCCCCCGCAATTGTTTAGTAAAAAAAACATTTATTTAAAAGGTCCTGTGTGTAGCATACGGGGGGATCTATTGGCAGAAATGGAATAAAGTATTCATAAATATGTTTTCATGAGTGCATAATCACCTGAAACTAAGAGTTGTGTTTTCGTTAGCTTAGAATGAGCCGGTTATATCTACTCAGGAAGCTTGTCCTCACAGAGTCCGATATGTTCCGCTTCCATGTTTCTACAGTAGCCCAGAGCAGACAAACTATAGACGTTGGTTCTAGAGAGAGCCTTTCACGTTCTTACGTTACCTGAAGGCCACCGTAGTTTTCCAACACTCTTGGAAAAGTGCTTACGTTGAAAGCAACACATATTTTAGTTCATTGTTTTACACTTCCACAAATTCTCTTTTGTTTTGTTTTTTACTTTTGTTTTGTTTTGTAAACAATCGGCATCAAATGCCAGCGTAAACATTTTTACTGTATGTGACTGTAAAACATAAAGGAAATGCTAATAATACTCATGCATGCATTATTTCACTGGAAACCTTTAACGACTAAATTGTCGGTGGATGTTCCCATCAGCTTAAGCTGGGTGGAAACTTAATGTTCGCACCCTTTGCCCCTTATTTCCCCATGTCAGATAATTACACATTTAATGGTCAAAAGTCCCTCTCATGTGGCCCTTACCCGTCGTTGAGTCGGATCAGGATGGCCCGGTAGAGCTGGTGCTGTGGGCTGTTGGACTCTGGACCACAGGGGTGGATGAACGGGTGAACGGACGCCAGAACAAAGCCCTGCTGGTAGAGCTCCTGCAGCTGGCCGGGCAGCTCCCGCACCGACGAGAGACGCAGCGTGGACGTCCCGCCTGAGAGACACCAAACAGGGAGACGATGTGTGAGACAAAAACAATTTGGACACAGTTATTGTGCTGCTATACGTGCCGCTTTTGCATTCAACCTTTCTGAAGAAAGTTTCCTGCTTGCAGCAAGCAGGGATGTGACTTTAGATTTCTGTTTGAGTTTTCTTGTTCTTTGACTGTCAGCCATGGTGACGGTCACTGCTCATGTTCATAATGCGATTATTTAAATGGACATTTACTGTCATAATGTCCCTCGCCCTGTTGGCTTTTCTTCCCCTTTATCCTCACAGCCCCCCCCCCCCCCATCCTTTAAGTGGACCTTTCCAGAGCTGGTCATTCCCCACCTGTCCATCAGATGCCCTCAGACTTTCCCTGTATACCAATCACCTGATCCTGCTCTTCTTCTCACTGCACACCTGACCTCATTGACTCATTGCATATAAATATCCTAGGCCCTTTAATTCAGTGACTGAATTTGTGTTTTCTTCCCTGTTGAACTTTTAAAAGACAAAATGTCGGTGAGAAGGATTTAGCATCAATTTAGTTGTTCCAGTCTTCATGCAGCTCAGCGAGAACATCTAGTGCGTATAGTTTCAGGTAAACCGACCAAAGGAAATAACACAAAAAACATAATTGTTCCCCTGCAGTTCTTTGTATCTGGACTATTTCTGTCACACTATGCAAATTATGTAAATGACGGTCCTTTTTTTCACAGCAGTTAGCCTCTTTTTGATTTCTTACATTTAATTTATGTGTGAGGGTTTGTATTATTGTAGAAACGTTTTGGTACAGATCGACATGTGCCCAACAGCACAACAGAGCTCAAGAACAAAAAAAACACGTGAAGATTTGCAATTCAGATACCAACACTGATTTTTAGAGTTTGTTTTGACAATTAGTATCACGCTTTTCACTCCATCCCCTCAATCTGGGAGTTAATAAGAGTGGCTCAAAATCCAATTAGAGCTGATTGCTTAGGCTCTGTATTATGAAAGCGCTTTTAAAATTTGACACTTACTTTGATTCCCTCTCAGCTCAACTGTCCACAAATACGTAGCGGACAGGGGCCTGACATTAAAGAGCTGCAATCAGTGAGTGGCCAGCTGTTTCGAAAAAAAAACAAAAAAAAAAAAACGGTACGGAGCTGCTGCGCAGAGCTATTTCTTTGCATTTTTTCCTCCGAGCCGCCTTCCCCACACCTCCCTGAGGGATGAAAACCTACAGCAGACAGCCGCTGGTGACTTCCTGTTTCAGGGAGCAACCATGCTGTGTTACAACAAGCCACACGCAACCTCTGTCAGGCAACATCAGCCAATCAGGATGTATGGTAATGGCAACGGGAAGGGGAGAGTGGTTCAGGTTTAGGAATGGGAGCAATTAGACTAGTAAATGGAGAGCTTGATAGCGGGAAGGAGAGGTCGATGGACAGGAAAGATGGAGGAAGAGAGGTCAAAAAAACAGAGAGGAAGAGAGGGAAAGCTCGACAGACCACGATCGAGACGGCGCTTGGCCCCCGGATGCATGATGGCTGGGATCCCAGCAGTGCGCCGTACGAGGCGACATTTACTGCGGGCCAAACAGCTGGGACACGTGGGAGAGCGCCAACACAAAGAGCTGGATGCAAAACAAGAGACCGGGGAGAGGAGAGGAGGGAGGGAGGGGAGGTCTGGTCGTCTGTACAAGCTGTCACAAGATGTGGGAAATGCCGCTATGGCTAATTAGAGTCAATGAGACTATACAGTCTCATTGACTCTCAAGGAACCGTTCAGATCCATGGGAAAAGTCAAAGTACAGAAGTTCAATGGGAGGTCAGAGAGAGGGGACTGGTGAGACGATGCCGGCCCGGGCTTTGTGTGTTTGGTTTCAGGTGGAGTCAGCAACGCTAACAAGACTTTCACATAATAGCAGTATTGTGTATGACAAGGCTGAAAAAGCTGCTTTCAAGGTGTATTTGGATACAGATGACTTAATATTTGAAAACTCATAAACTGTCGCTATGATGCACTGCTATAAAATCTGCTTCTGATTGATTCTATGTGTGCATCCAAAATCTGCAAAGCCCGAATGTAATTGGTCAGGACTCCCGCTTTCATTCTCTTATTGGAAATGTGAAAAAAATGGAGAATAATTCTCTTGTATAAATAAACATAACTTTGAGCTGTGAAAAACGGTTTTCATGTCACACGCATAGTGACTTCCCACCGTGCAAACACGTGGGCATCAGGGGCCAAGTTGAGGTCAGTCAGTCATCCCGCATTTAAACTCCTGACACCAAACGGCACAGTCTCACACATGCCCAGTGTTGCTGCTTGTTTGATGTTGAAGTCTTGTTAATGTGTGCAAAGCAGCAGCTCTGCACAACATCTGCGTCATTTATTGCCTCTGGCCGGCGCAAACAAAGCTGACAAGCGCCTGCGTTGCTGTGACGGTAACGTGTGGATCTGTTGGTCTTCATATCACAGTGAGTGATTTATTGAACTGCACATAAAGTGCTGCTGATGTGTAACTCGACATGCTTTCCCATTGTCAATTGTTCTGCATGTCTTTACATTCACAGTGAGATTTCATGCATTATTTATCTAAGAAGCCGTTGAAGGGTTTTATTGGACATGCACTTGGTATGATTGTAGATGTGCAATATAAATTTGAATTTTGCTATCTTGGAAGCATAATTTTATGCACATCACTTAGAGGCTGCTGGAAGCCAACATCAGATGGAGAGCATTGCATTCTCATTGGCTCCAGTTGAGTCCAATATATTAAGATACATGATGTTTTAGTTGTATTTCTTTGTCCAATGCTTTCTTAGTGTGTTCAGTAATCCAACAGTTATTTTCTCCAATTCATGAACAAACAAAGATCTGTCACCAGGCGGCAAACCTCCAGTTCTGAAAAGTGAAGCCAATGAGGAAGTTAAACTTGTATTCTGTCTACTGACCATCAGGGGGCGACTCCTCTGGTTGTATAGAAGTCTATGAGAAAATGACTCTACTTCTCTCTTGATTTATTACCTCAGTAAACATTGTAAACATGAGTTTATGGTCTCAATCTCTAGTTTCAAGTCTTCTTCAATACAGCATGATGTTCATTTAGTAAATTATGGTCCATTTAGAATAAAATAGACCATAAAGCAGAGTATGCTTTAGGGCGGGGCTACTGTGATTGAGAGGTCGCTACCAGAGCCGTGTACGGCATCTCTATGTCACTCCTCCACAGTCCTAATATGGTCACTTCCATTCTCTGGTTGCAAAAAAACCCCCGCGATGGCCAAAACGCCTAAATCGAGTCTTCACAACGTCAGTCCACAAAACCAATGGGGGACGTCACGACGACTACGTCCACTTCTTATATACAGTCTATGTCCGTCACACAAACACAACGCAGGTATAGAGTCTGATTGCATTGTGTGAGGGTGCCTCCTTGTCACTTTTGTCAGCTAGTAAACAACAGAATGTGTAAAAGCTGCTGTGTGATGGGATCTGCCTTCAAGGACTATATTGCTCGATATCAACCTGTAACGCCTGTACAGTCGGTGAATGTGTGTTGTGAATGAACACAAACACATTGATGTGAATAAAGAGAGGTGAAAAAAATTGCACGTCCAATCTAAACCACAATAACTTCATCTATGCCTCCAGTCCGGGACTTTTCCTTCCAATGTCTTTGAGCTGTTTTAAAAAATCAGGTTGCATATTCCGTATTTTGAACATCTGTAATTAATTGCAGCTGTAATTCCTCCAGAATGAGATCATCATAATCCTTTTGCATGAAGCCTGTCACTCCCTGTACATCTAGACAAACCACACGTCCTCTGGCAGATAAATTCAACTAAAGCTCATATATGTGCGACATCATTCGACCGTTTCGTGCAGGTTGTGTAACACGATGATGTGGCGTGCGTTCAGCGTGCTACACTACATTGTCAGGACTGCAATAGAGAGGAAAAAAAACAAAAAGGAAGGGATTTCTGGAACAAACACTGGTAGCGCCAATCAGGAGGCAGCTCCTGTGATGTAGGTAGAGCGAGCTGATTCAGTTCGGATCCCACCTCTTCCTCCCGGGCACAAATCCAGAGGTTCATTGTGAAACCACGACAGAAGCAGGAGAAGAGGAAGAGGGAGGGAATAAAAAAAAAATCATATGCTGTCCCCTCAGGGAAAGCCAGTGCTTTGGCTAAAAATACTCTTCCAAATTTCTCAATCACACTCTGTCCTACTGCGCCACAATGCAGAAGCTTTAGAAGTTAAAAGGCGTGGAGGAATTAACACAAAGAAATAGGCCGCCATCGCAACCCCCCCCCCCCTTCTGCTCCTCCTCCCCTCCTTTCTCCACCGCTGGCTGGCTCTCCTTTAGAAATGGAATTAATCCTTCTGTGATCTGTGATTTTTATTTATTTTTTCCCCCTTCCTTCCCCCTTCATTTTGGTGCGACGTGAAGACACTGTCCTTTCCCCAGAGGGACCCTATTGTGCACGCGCACGGTTCACGGCGCGGTGGATATTAAGTGGAAAATGAAACCGTCTTTGCCTGCTCTCTGATCCCCTTAGTTGAGATGAGTAAATAAGGAATGGTTTCAATTAGGCAGTGGGAACACAGCCGCTGGCGACTTCTTAAGTTGGCTTTAATCGCTGTGTGAGCTGCTAATAATCTCATCCAGAGGCCTTTAAATACACAGGCTCTACATTTATTTACCAGAGCAAATTTTATTTATCCTGCTGTCCCCAGAGCAAAAGTGTGGCCCAGCGCGAAGTTTCCCTGAATCTCGTGCTGTTGTAAGGATGTTTACTATGCCCCGAAATCGTGTTATCCAAGGAGAATCTCTTTGTTCGCGTGGATGAGAGCAAATTAGCTGCCGTATAACTGCTGTATGCAAGTGGCAGTGTTGATGTCTCACACTGCGAATATTTAGGCCTTTTTGAAGGAGTCGGTGGTCGATCACACAGGCAATCTGGTAAACCTTACACGGCAAACTGGCAGCCAATTACTCCACTCAGTCTTTTTGTTTAC